CCACACCTTCTGAAAAACGTGTAAAATCTTTGAAAACAATTTTATGCATGGTAAAACCTGATTAATCCCTTATCAATTCCATTTGTTTTTCCTTAGTTCCTCTTACCTCCTATTCCAATTTAAACTTGTTGCTCCTTAAGGCTGCTGGTCAACTGTTATGCTAGGATCTCTTTTCATTGTCCTGGAAATTCTCTCTTTACTCTGCTGAATACACTAATTCACGAATCTTATAACTCCCATTTTCTTAGTCTATACCCTTATTTTGGTGGAGCATATCCTCTTGTAGCTCCTGAGAAAGGTAGACAGGAGGTAAATTTTTGAGTTTTGCATGTTTGAAAAGTTATTATTTTAATTTTACTATTGGTTTATAGTTTGGCTGGGTATATAAAACTAGGTTAAAAATATTTTTCCTTAAGCATTTTGAAGACATCACATTGTCTCCTCATTTTCACTCTTGGTATTGATAACTCTAATGTCACTCTGATTCTTGACCCTGTGATGCAATATGTTTTATCTCTCCTCTCAGCCCCATGAAGGTCTCTCTATTCCTGATGTTATGAAATTTCATGATAATATCAGAGTCTTTGACATGTATGCTGTACATTTGGTGAGGTCTTTCAATGTAGACACTCTTTCCATCTGGCAAATTTTCTTATTATTCATTTTTTAATTTCTTTAACAACATTTTCTTTGCATTCTCTGGAAGTACAGTTAGTTGAATATAGAATTGTCAGAGATGAGCTTTTGATTGTCTTAGTATTGATCTTGTATTGTCTATGTTGTTGTTTTTAGTTTTCCTTCCTGGTAGATTTCCTCAACTTTGTGTCCTAGTACTTTTAGTAAATTAAAAATAAAATTAGCTATCATACTTTCAAATACGTCTGTCATTACTTTTTAAAATTTTGTTGTTGAGAATATACACAGCAAAACATATACCAATTCAACAGTTCCTGCATGTGCAATTCAGTGACACTGATTACATACTTCGAGTTTGCAACCATTCTCACTCTCCTTTTCTGAGTTGTTCCTCCTCCATTAACCTAAACTCACTACCCTCTAAGGTTCCTACCTAATCTTTTGAGTTGGTGTTGTCAATTTGATCCCAAAAATGTCGTTCTTTTTTTTAAAAAAAGTTTATTTATTTTGTTGTTGTTGAGAATACACACAGCAAAACATACATCAATGTAAGTAAACTTCTAGAGATAACAGAGGAAGTTAGCAAATTTGCAGAGTACAAGGGTAATAAAAATCAATTGGATTTCTGTACACCAACAATGAGAAATCTGAAAGGGAAATTAAAGAAACAATTCTGTTTACAATAGCATCTAAGAGAATAAAATACCTAGGAATAAATTTAACCAGGGACATAAAGGACTTATACAACGAAAACTATAAAACACTGCTGAAAGAGATTAAAGAAGACTTAAATAAATGGAAGGAAGGTTGGGCAATCCTACTTCTGTAGTGATACTGCCTCGGAAACCCAAAGAGGGGTTGCTATGAGTC